GGCCTTGGCTGTAAAGTAGTAGTGTAGTTTATGTAACGGCTATGGGTTTCAGTTTTGTAGGGGTCGATTTTTTACCGGGGATGAGATTTGGTTCGCGTGGGTGCATCCGGACAGTTCATGCCAAGCAGCGTACTATATCTATATCCTAACCTCCGATTTTCTACTTTCTTGCCCTCGCGACATTCGAGTAGTCAAGAGATAGGCTAGGACCGCTGCTACGATTAGGCCATCATGAAACCATTAGATGAGGCGCGCCGCGCACAGATCATTACCCTGTTGCGGAGGGGGTATAGAACTTGTCAAATCGCTAAACAGCTAGGCGTGGGGAAGAGTACGGTCCATGATTATGGCCTCAAGGCGATTGCAAAGTCTAGCCGCGATGACGTGCATCCTACGATGCCCTCAGCTAGTCGCCCTCGCTTAGTGACGGTGAGAGTTTGCCGCAGCATAGTTCGGTCGATTACCAGTGGGGAGGCAAAAACCTCCGCTCACGCGGCGAAGATTGTTGAGATGCAGCACGGCATCATGCTGCATCCTAGGATGGTGCGTAACGCTTTGAATGGCAGCAGACTTGTCGCAATCCAGCAGCCCAAGAAGCCGCGACTCTCTCGAAAAGACATACGCGATAGGCTAGAATAGGCCCGTGCCCACGCCGACTGGAAGGTTGACGACTGGAAGCGACTGATCTGGTCGGATGAGACCAAGATCAATCATTTTTCTTCTGATGGACGCTCATATGCCTGGGTTCCCGAAGGTACGGCCCTCCAAAGCCACCAAATCAAGCAGGCCGTCAAACACAGGGGCGGCTGCTTGATGATTTGGGGCTGCATGTCGTATGATCGAGTGGGTTTCATGTGCAGAATAGATGGTAGGATGGACGGACCGCTCTATCCTGGTATACTGCAAGACGAGCTCAATAGTACGATCGAGTTTTACAAGCTCTCACCCTCGGAAGTCATCTTCCAGCACGACAACGACCCAAAGCACAAGTCGCGTATCGTGCAGGAGTTTGGGGTGCTAGAGTGGCCAACATCCTCACCCGACCTCAACCCAATAGAGCATCTATGGGCTCATCTCCAGAGGGAGCTGCCCAAGCACGAGAAGCCTCCCACTGATATGGTGGACCTTTGGGAGCGTGTCCAGGAGGAATGGGAGAAGATCTCGGCGGATGTGTGCACCCACCTGGTGGAAAGCATGCCCAGGAGGGTGAGGGCAATGATTAAGACGAAAGGGCGGTGGACTAGGTACTAGTTTGGGGTTGTTGAAACTTGCTGCTCGCGCCTGGCAATAATTGTCCATATGTACCATGATTGTTAATTTCTGCTATTTGTTGTAAACATCAATACCTTCGTGAGATGTAAGGCATGGGCCTAGAGCCTTACCCTAACCTACATACACTGGGCACACCAAAAGATTAAGGCTCAATGTGCATGACCCCTTAATATTCCAAGATTCGTCTAAGTCACAAAAATGCGGACTATACTTTCTGTCACTGTAATTTGATCCATGTCAAGCTCAAAGACCAGCACACGACGGCAAGCCATGGCGTACCAGTCCGGAGGGTCTGACGTAGGACCGAAGCGGTGGCGGAACAGGTCGTCCAGGCGGCGGTAGCAGCAGTCGACGGTGTGGCCGGGTCGGAGGCAAACAGTGCCGCGGCGAGGGCCGGTCTAAAGTTGGTACTGGCAGGTGACCACGCTGGAGCTGCCACCCGACACCGAGCTGCGCCCGCCCCCCCCCACGACCACCGCCACTAGCGTCGCCAGTCCACCATGGCGACGGGGGTCCCCACGGCGACTGCTGCTCCTGCGATGATTACGGCTGCGGCTGCTGCGGATGCCGAGTCTGCTGCTAAGGCTGCGTCTGCTACTGCGGCTGCTCCGGGGCACCAGCCCTGGTCCCCTCCTCTGGACCACCATTCCTGCCCTCACCACCGCCACCCTCCCCACCGCCACCCCCCTTCCCCCCACCACGCCCCCCTTTGAGGCGGCGACCCTTACCCGGACGCTTTTGCGCTGAGGACACGGCGGCGGTCTCAGTAACAGCAGTAGAGACGTCAGAGTAAGTGCACTGGGAAGGAGCACAGCCCCGAAAGATAGGCACCGCCGCAGTACCGCTAGACTAAGCGATACTGCGCTGGCAGGTCTCTATCTCAGATAGGGCAGTGACAAAGACGATGAGAGTGAGATCACCCGGGTGCTGACTAAGGAAGTGGTTGCGGGCTATGGCTAGGCGGTCAGGGAGGCGCGTGGCAATGAGATAAGGGGTAGCACAGAACGGCGGCGGGAAAGCAGTGAGCTGTGCCTTAGTGCTAGCAGCGCGGTAGCTTGTTTCATGCTAAGGGAAGGGCGTGGTAAAGTCGGCTACAATGGGGAAGGACGCAAGATAAGGGCACATCATGGGAAGGATCAGGCGAACTCTGGGCAGTGGCGGGGGTGGAATAGCGCGCAATGACAGCATCTAAGAAGGCCTGGGCGTTCGCTACAGTGGTAAAGTTAGGATTCTCAGACAGCGGGAGCGCACGGCTGATAGCAAGCTGGCCGACTGCGTCGCACGAGTCCCAGACGGCACGATCGAGCGTAGCAGTGGAAAAGGCCTCACGCTCAGCAGTGGTGGGGGCATCTGGGAGGGCAGCAGGGGCAGGGGGGTGGGGGAGCAGGTCATCGACATGAACAGCCAGGGAGTGACCATCCTGGCGCTGACTTGTAAGGTGACGCCGAAGGTCGAAGAGCCATGCCTCAAAGTCGAGTGCCCGACCCTCTGCGTCCAGACGGAGCTGTGACTCCGCCATCGCCACCGCTGCATCTGCTGACGGCCGCTGACAGAGTGAGGAGGACAGGTGGAGGAAGCGGTGAAGAGCGGTGGAGTACGGTGTAGTGCGGTAGAGTGCAGTGGAGTGCGGTGGAGTGCGGTGTAGTGTGGTGGAGTGCAGTGGAGTGTGGTGTAGTGCAGTGGAGTGCGGTGGAGTGTGGTGGAGAGAAGTGGAGAGCGGTGGAGACAGCCGGCAGGGAAGCCGGCGCTAAAGGGAGCTTGAGCTGGTTGGTCGGCGCTGGGACTCGACGGTCCGGCGGCTGGCCGCTGAAGCGAAGGCCGGTGAGGGTGGAGCCGGCTGGCTGGCCGACCGGCTAGCGAGGGCCGACGGGGTACATGGGGCCAACGGGGCGCGGGCGGGGCTGGTAGGGCGCCAACGGGGCCGGCGGGGCGCTAACAGGCTGGCGGGGCGAGCAGGGCCAGAGGGATGCACGGGACCGACAGGGCGCTAACGGACCGGTGGGCGCTAACGGGCCAGCGGGGCGCTAACGGGCCGGCGAGACGAGTAGGGCCAGAGGGGTGCACGAGGCCGACGGGGCGCTAACGGGCCGGCAGGGTGCTAACGAGCCGATGGGGCGAGCAGGGTCAGAGGGGCGCATGGGGACGACGGGGCGCAAACGTGGCCGTCAAGGTGCTAATGGGCCGGCGGGGCGCTAACGGGCCGGCGAGGCGAAAAGGGCCAGAGGGGCGCTAACGGGGCCGACGGGACGCTAACAGGTCGGCGGGGTGCTAACGGGCCGGAGGGGCGCTAGCAAGCCGGCAGGGCGAGCAGGGCTAGAGGGGGAGCACGGGGGCGCTAACGGTGCTGACGGGCGCTAACGGGCCAGAGGGGGCCGACGGGGCGCTAACGGGTGGGTAACAGGCCGGCAAGGCGTTAACGGGTCAATAGGGCGCACGGGGCCGACGGGGTGCTAACGGGGCCGGTAGGGTGCTAACGGGCCGGTGGGGCGCACGGTGGCCGACGGGACACGAAGGGGCGGCTAGGAGCGGGCTGCAAGGACTAGGGCGAGAGCGGAAGCGCGGGTGGGCGGGGAGGACCTAGCCTTGTGCGTGATACCATCTCATAGTAGAAAGTTAGCTAGAATGAGGCATACATGTTGATTTTGTTCAAGTGGTTGTACCCTCTAAGAGCATGCACCTATCTAGCCTATTATAACATATACAAATATTTTTTACGATAGCAACTTTCCCTTAGCCGTTTGAGCTTTGAGAGAGGGGGTTGGGCTGCTTGGGTGAAGGTGTTTGCTTGCCTTCGACCAATCACGAGCCTCCTTTTACAGCCACTGCGTCATTTTTCGGTTTCATCCGGGTGCATGGGGTTACCCTTTTTTTGCACTCCGAAACTGCTAGCAAAAACGCTCGCGCCTTGCAACTTGGGAGTCTTTGTCGTTCGGTAGAAACTGCTCGGCCAAGCCTACCAGCTGTTCGAGGCTCGGCTTTTGGTTTGCCACTACAGTCACCTTCCACGTGACGGAACGGTAACTTGAGGGCTCTCGGTCAGGTAAACAAACGAACGTTTGCCCAATCTCACCAACCTGCAAAACCCTTGGAAACTGCACTGTACAGTAATGGCGTGGTACATACAGTTCCGACTTGCCAATCACGGAACTGAGTTCTGAAAACAGTGATGGGACTCTTCGGACGAACATACTGTAGTACATCAAGTTTCCAAAATCATATCTGTCCGAATCTCCGACTAGGTACCTACATCTGGACAGGGGTATTCGTTTGAATTTTCAACGCCACACGAAATGGCGAATGACGAAAAAAAATATAAGAACCAAAGTTACGCCGTTGATTGTCGCCACCCATCGTCTCCGTCATTTGGTGGCTCGTCAATTTGTTGGGTTCGTAGCGATTCGATGTTGGGACTTCGTTACGCTAATTTTTATTAACCAACCTGTATTTTCTTTCGCGCCCCAGAGGGGAAAGGCCAGACTGTTCGGAACTGATGGGGAGGCCGTTCGGACACGCTAGTGGCCAGTTCCGGAACTGTATATACCACGCCCTAATGTTTCTTCATTCTCTCAGATGTAGCTGTCCTATCTCAACTGAGCATGGTGGGGTCAGGCTCGGCCATTCGGTTTGGCTGAGGTCCGGGGACGTTGTGCTGTTTGGGGTGGGGTGGGGGGGGAAGTTTTGTGGGGAGTATATTGTGCTGTTCGTGACTGAAGAGAGGCTTAATTTTCTACATGAAGGTCAGCTGGGAGGAGAGTGAAGACGAGGCTCTCCCAAAGGCTACCTTCCACAAGTCAGCATGAGCATCCTCAGCACTCTCTGGGATGAGGTTCTCGGAGGTCCGAAGCCAGAGAAGTGTCAGGATCGATTAAGTGCTCTGAGCTTTCCTCAGTCGCCGTCGAATACTGTGGAGTCTGGTAGTCCTGTGAATTCACCAAAGGCATCATGGGAAGGTGAGGAAGGCTTAACTCCCATTGTCCGAAGTTTAACGCTGTAGTGTTTCTCGCTTGAGCAGTGTTCACGCTGAAGGAAGTGAGTGCCGGGCTTGTTATTCCCTCCACCTTGCAGATGACTTCGAGAAGCGGCGAAAGAGCGTGGAGGTCGGACGGGTTTCTTCGCAACCCGTGAATATTATTGGCGCAGGAAAGGCTGCGAGGAAGGACCGGCTTCTGGAAACATCTCATTCTCTTCCCGCTACATTCAAGCGGGAATACAAGCTTCCTTCGCGGTTCGGAAGTGGTAGGTTTTTCGCTCAGCAAGTTGGCATGTCTTAGCATCGTCAGCGTTATAACTTGAGCTGTTTTCGTTTGGTTCAGGCTCCAAAGATTTTGTATCCTCGCAGCCACCACACACAGCGGGTTTTGACCCTGATACAGCAGTTTATGCTTGGTACAATCCCCTACCGGTCTGAGGCAAGTGTTTTTGATTGTTTTGTTTAGGGTCGGCGGTGCTTGTTTTGGTCGTTCCATTCTTCGACTCGGGCTTACATGTTACAGTTTTTGATGCAGGGACTCAGGCCATTTGAAGGCTCGTTCGTGCTGCCTTTAATCGTGTACATGTTTGTAAAGACGAGTTCTTACCTGCGGGCTCGCGCAAATTGCTGCAAGCGATTTGCAGGCACACTGGCACATGGTTTGCTTTGGTATTCCTTCTATTTGTTTGCAAGGTTTGTTACTCGGCAGAGCGAATAATGAACTGTACGTGCCGATCTGAGGGCAGGGAATGGCCCTAAGGGTGTATTCCTATGGATCAGGCTCAGGACCAGACCCGCATTGCATGGTGCTATGCGCTGAAAGTGTTGGACTGTGTCAGTGCGGCTCAATCTGGTTCTGTACTATTATGATTCTGATCAGGGCTTCAGAAATCAGGACACAATGCCCTGATGCTGTATAGCAGAATGTTTTAGGGTTGTCCTGTGTTGACAGCTTTTGATTATTCCTAGGCCTGAATTTTAGGGGTTTTCATTTGAGCAGGCCTGAAATAATGTATGTTTAGGTTGGAAATGGTGAAGACGCATTTCTGGAGTCTCGCGCGAGTGCAAATATGCGAAGACCACGTCCCCAAATTGGTTTTGGGGGATCTGATGTTAAATTATATATATGTAACATAATTGTAGGCTTGGTAGCCGTTACTGAGACCTACTGTAGAGGTTACAATATCCCTCCCTGTATCCCTCTCTTCTATTCTAGACCTCAACTTTCCTAGCCTAAAACCTCACGCCATTCCATGGCTACCTACCCTTCCTAGCTACCTAGCCTATCGTCACATGGTAACAGAGCAGGTCGCCCTGTTAAATTATATATGTTAGTATATAATTGTAGGCTTGGTAGTCGTTACTGAACATTACTGTAGAGGGTACAACACCCCTCCTTGTATCCCTCTCTTCTTTTCTAGTTCTCTTTTCTCTCACCAACTTTCCTACCCTAAAACCTCACGCCATTTCCATGGCTCCTCCTACCTAGATCCTAGCTTTCAGACATGGTAACAAAGCGGGTTCCCTTCCCGGGCCTGCTCCCCTCGCTTCCGCCGCGCACTCCCTCCGCGTCATGCCGCGCTGGCCTTGTCGCGCTGCGCTGGCCCTGTCAATCCGCACTGGCCCCGTCGCGCCGCACGGGCCACGCTTCCGTCGCGTACCCGTCCTTACTTCGCCGCCGTCGCGGCCTTCCTACTGTCTGCCGCCATGGCACCTTTTCCAAGATGTCGCGGCGGCCTTGGCGTGCTGACGTCCCGGCGTTGACGAGCAGCCGCGGCTCTGACGCCACGCTGTGGTGGCGTCGTCGTGGTGCCGTGGCTGTGTCGTCGGCCTGTTGCCGTCGCGCACCACTTGCGTCGCTGCTGGAATTGCAGCCCGCTCGCCAGTAAGCGTCGCGCCAGCAATGGCGCCGTGCTAAAGATCCGAAGCCCCGCCCCTTCCCCCTTTCCTTTGTCCCCTCCTCTTCGCCACAGCCGCCGCCTGACTCTCGCCGGTCGTCCCCCTGTCGCGGAGTTTGGACACGCCGCCGGAAGGGCGGGGGCCGCTGCCGTTACCGCCGTCAAAAGCTGAAGCCGTCGCCATCGCCGCTGTCGTCGCCGCAGGCCTGTTGCCGCCGCACGCCTGTCGTTGCCGTCGCTGTCGCCACTGCCGAGACGGCTGCCGTCGCCATCTCCAGGGCCTTGGGGTTGGCCCTACAGTAGTCGTCGTGGCTGATGGGAATATGGGTGCTAGGTTAGGGGGTGTGGGGGTGTGTGGGTCCTTGCTACCAAGCCTAGGGGGAGTGTTAAATTATATATATTAGTATATAATTGTAGGCTTGGTAGTCGTTACTGAATATTACTGTAGAGGGTACAACACCCCTCCTTGTATCCAGGGCCCCTGACATCAGACGAAATTGGTCTGATGGTCTGAAAAACAGACCTGATTTTGTTGTTTCGTCTGAAAACCCAGACCATTACTTATTTCCCATCTGAACGTTAAGACCGATATTTTTTTTCCATCTGCAAAATCAGACCAGGTGTAGTGTTTCATCTGAAGCCTCAGACAACGCGTATGCTTTCGTCTGGAACCGACAGGTTTCCCAACTAGGCTACTTGGCAACAAGTCCACATGCGATGGTCCCAAACTCCAAGCACGCGTAATCATGACTTCGCGTGAAACTCCCTTGCGTTGTCACACAACGCAATTTGGTGGCAGGATGACACGTCACGTCCTGCCACTCGGTGTCCTTTTTGTATGCTTTCGACACACCAGACAGGCAGTACATGGGCAGCGCCGCTGCTGACATGCATGTGGTCGGCGCGCATGACAGCCTTTGGAGCGCATTTTGCCTGGCATCTTCTTGCCAGCACATTGCCAGCGCCATCAGAAATCTGGCTCGGGCGTCTCGAGCTGGCGTTGGGTTTCGTGATGCTCAGGAAAGAGAGCGTCACTTCCGTAGCGCAATCGGAAAAAAATAGACGATCATGAGCGTCACTTTTCCCTCCTCTCGCATCACCTTTCCCTTCCTCCGGAACGCCTAGGAAGGCCCATTACACCCCTCCGTCGTCAAACAAGGCTCTCACGGCCTGCCGAGCATAGTAGTTTCTAGCTCCTCCATGAATGTTACTGCAGCTCTGACTAGGTACGCGCCATGACGACGGACGCTGGGGCTAGTGCACCAGCGAGTAAGCCATGCTCAAACACCCCCTTCCCTCCCGATCCGAGTGCGCTTAGCGCACTGGATTTCTTGCGCCGCGGCGTACGCATTTATCCAGCCTCCTCAATAGCTACAGCAGCGGCATCAGCAAGTACACAACAGCATGCTGCCGAACCGCCGATCGCGCCATCTCATACAGCGGCTGCTCCTCCAGTGGCAGCCGTTGAACCTCGCGCGGCGCCCACACCCTCTCTTGTGGCGGACGGTACACCCGTCCCAGCTCCCCCACTTGTCGTGCCCTCTCCAATGGCCCACCATGCTCGTACTGTGCCCGCTGGTCCTCTAGCTCCTGATCTACCTGCAACGCCTGCTGGTCAAGCAACTGGTGGTGACATTGAGCCTCGCTCGTCACCCTGTTCAAGATGGGAGCCGTTCGATAATCTCATGCCTGATGTAGAGGTTGAGACCTGGGTTGCCAGTCCCAGACCCGAATCTTCGCCCCTCTCGACGAGTACCTCTTCTGTCCCTTCGTCTTCCGTCGCCGCTACCGTCGTTGCGTCTCGCTCTCCCGCTGTGGTGGGTGGACCGTTCCTTCCTGTGCGTCGTCCGGGGAAAGCTAAATACAAGCAGCGCAAGCTGTCCTTCGCACGTCCTTGTCCAACGGTGCCTTCTGTAGCACCCGAGTCGCTTGCCACAAACAGCTCCGACCCTGGCCCGTCGACGACAGCCGCGGGCGCCGCTGGCCCGTCGACTACAGCTACAGAGGACGATGACTCTGACGAAGGCCCGTGGCCAGTGACCATCGAGGAGCTGCAGCTGAAGTGCAAGGAACAGTGGCAGCGGCACTTCCCGTGGCTGGTTATTTCCGAGACTAGTGAAGGCCGCCCCTGCATGAAGTGCACTGTATGCATGGCGTACGGCCAGCCGAATTACCAGTACGGCCGAGACGGAGAGGGCGGCATCGACATACAGAAGCAGACGATGCGCAAGCATGACCACAGCGGGAAGCATGAAGCGGCCATGGCGGTGAAGGCTCACAGGGACGGCAAAGTGAAGAACCAGAAGAGTATTGTCGACTTTGAGGATGGCGACGAGGGTGCTCGTCGTTTGAAAAGGCTCCTTGCGATTGTTCTCTTCATTTGCAAGTCTGACGCTCCTATTGTTCTGTTCGTGTCCCTTGTTCAATTCATGGCAAAACAGGGGACGCCCGATATGCCCCTGAAGGAGAACGGCACGTACTATTCCGAGTAAGCCGTTCATCTTTGCCCGTATGCTCGACGCTACCTCTCTTCATTTGCCTTGTTTGTTTGTTTTATCCCGCCTGCCACAACTGATTCCCTCATTCTTCTCGCAGATACGGCTTTGCCCAGATGGTGGAAAGCATGATGGGCTACCTGCGTGCACATCAACTGAGGCACATCCTGGGAAGCCCCTTCCTTGGCATCCAATTGGACGAGAGCACCGACCGTCGAAGGGGGAAGCACATGATCGTCTATCTCACCTTCCTTCGTGACCGCGAAGTCGTCACTGAGTTCTACGCCCACCTGACTGTGGAGAAATGCGACGCCGCGTCACTACAAGCGGTCTTGCTCACTCACCTTGAAGCAACGGGGATAGACCTGCAAAGGATTTGTGGCATCAGCACGGATGGCGCTAGCGTAATGACCGGGGCACAAACAGGGCTTGTAGCGCGGCTTCGAGAGCGGATCCCGCATCTCGTCAGCTGCCACTGCATCGCCCACAGGTTGTTGGTGCACCATAGTAGTTTTTTCTTTGTTTTTTAATCGAACAGAATACTTACCTTTGGTTTTTGCTTGGCAGGGAGGCGCTCGCAGCAAAAGATGCTGCAACCTCTTTTCCCGACCTTGTCATTGTTGACAAGGTCGTGCGATCATTGGCCGAGGTCCTCGGCCGTTCGATTGTGGTTCACAATCGTTTCAAGCAGCTGCAAGAAGTGGTTACAGAGACTAATCTTGAGATGCAGGGTATCCACAACATCAGGTGGTTGTCTCGAGGTGAGGCAATCCAACGGCTTGTCGAGGTATTCCCCAGTGCAATCATTCTTCTTTCAGAGTACGATCACCAGGCCTACCAAATGGTAATCAGCCTCAAATTCCACTTCCTCCTCTACTTCCTTGCCGACGTCCTGAAGGAGCTGAATATCCTCAACTTGAAGTTCCAGCGCCGACAGGTGAGGGGGAGAAATTTAAGGGATTAGCAACTGTATGTTTGCGTTCTCATTATTCCTGTTGTTTCCTCCCACCCGTCCCCACTCCCGCTCGCCCCTCTCCACCCTACCTCAGGTCGATATTACGCACGTACTTCAAACGGTGGACAACACTAAACTTACTCTGCGCGGGCGCTACGTCAACTACGGTCAACACTTCGGACATGGGAACACGGCTCTCGTGGAGTTCATCGCCAAGCACACCGACATCCGAAACCGGCAGGTCACTGTCCGGGGTGTAGACGCGGACGGGACGCCACTCATCCATACCTACGAGCTGCATGAGAACCCAATCCACGGCCAGCGGAGTGATGGAGACATGGGGTCGCTGTTGACCCTAGCAACGTCTTTCGTTATGAAGGTGCTGAACGACATCGACTCGCGCCTGGCCGATCTTAGCAACCTCAACTGCACCAAGCTCTTTCGCCAGGGAGCCTACCCCAAGACGATTCAGAAGAGGGCACGGCGCTTTCCGCTATGGCTAGGTGGGTTGCAGAATCTCTACAAGCGCGCCCCGGACGCTCCTGACACACTGCCAGGCTAGTCATCCTTTGCACTGTTGCATCTTTTGCATGCTTTGATCCCAAGATTGCACCTGGCACGCTTGCTGGTTTAGCATACCCCTGTTCTTTGACTGCTGAACGGTCTCGCCCTCCCTCTCATTCCATCTCCCTTCTCCAT